ACCACAAAAGGGCTTTTTTAAGTAAAAAGGGGTTTTATGCCAAAGTAAATGGACCAAATTGGGGTTTGAACAAAGATATTAAAAATATAGATTGTCTTACCTTTAATGAAAAAAAAAAAAAGAGAGATCAAAGGCCTATTAATCAATCTTCAATGGGCCTCATCCTAGAACTTTAGTCAACCATTGATCATCACCAACATCTATATCACAACGGTCTATTCCCAACCACACCAACTCTATGTCAATTTTTGAACCCTCTATCCATACCTCATTGTATAGTAGCGACTCACTTTGAATCTCTTACAAGATTACATTGTTGAAAGTGGGTTATGTGAGCTCAATGCTAGTCTAGCATGACAATGGAAGAAACAAATCTAACTTTTAAGAGCAATAAATCCTCCACCTTTTCCTCCATTAAGAACCCATCAAAGAACTTACTCTCATCGTCAACTTTAAAGAGCAACAAATTCAACTCACTGATGATCCAACAGCAAATTTTAAAGATGTTGAAATGAAAGATGAATTACAAAACATTGTTAGAGGCTTCAACAACTTCGCAACGGTTGATGTTGACTCAATGTACTCCAAGAGGGGTGTAATAACCCAAAAATTTCAAGAACAAATAAGTGTGAGCTAGGGACCTATTTGTGAGAAAATCATATTGTTGAGCTTAATCATCAATTTGCAAAAGTCAAGGGGTCAAAAGGTTTTGGATAAGGCCGGCTGACTCATCTCTTTTTTTTTTTTCCTTTTTCTATTTCTTTCTTTCTTTCTTTCTTTCCAGCCATTTTCGCGTCTGCTCTATTTTCTTTCTCCCTACAGCCGAAGTGAACCCAGCCATTTCCAGCGCCTCCACCAAAGAAAAATTGGTAAGATCTTGGTAAATTCCTTCCCTTTTCTTGTTAAACAACAAGATTTAAAGCTTAAAACTCTTTCCTCAACCCAAGAATCCCGGATCTGCTGCTTTCTTCCTTCCTTGCTGCCGGCCACAGCTGGGTGTGAGTTCGGTTTTTCTTGGTAAAATCAGCCAAGAAACTCCTCTTTTTAGCCTTGATGTATGTGGGTTTACTCTAATTCTCCTTTTTTTCAATTGCTAGAAGTCTGCGTGAAGCTTCTCCAATTCCCATCGATCTTCCCTTTACCGCCAGCTCTAACTTTGCTTGTTGGGAATTTTTCGTAAGTTAGCTCCTCTAATCTCCAAGAATTGGTTGATTAAGTGCTGAATTGTGAGTTTAAGTGGTTGTATGAAATGGGCTTGGGTTGTCCGAAAATTCTGTTGCAATAGGGAGGATTTTGGCCATTTGAAAATGGGTTTTGGTTGACGATTTATGTAGAAAATCCTTAAATTTGGCTGTTGTGTGTGTTCCCGAGAAAAAAGAGAGGAGAATCCCGTGACTTGCCTATTTTTGTCAAAAACCGGTTCTCCCATTACTTGTCCATGAATTTGAGAAAATTTGTATATGTGTAATTGTATAATTGTATATACATAGATATTAATTCGAAAATATTGTGATTAGGTTCTTGATCGTCCTGTGGCCTTAGCACTTGGATTAGGTCTTCTGTCCTGTGTAATTAAGGTAAGTAAATTATGGTAATGCCCTTAAATTTTTGAAGCATATTTTAATTGTTTTCTGAGATGGTGGCGAGGTTTAAATGGATTTATTTGCATTTGAGCATGATTAAAAAGGGAATTTAAACTTTTATTATTTTTCTTATTTTCTAGAATTGAGCATGCCCACATGAGATTCTTCGGTTTATTTTTGAAAGTGAGAACGATCGTGAATCGGGGTTTTCTGTAAATCTTACTGGGTTTTGTCTCCGATGTGGTCATCTTATTAGTGACCTTGCTAGTGGGGGAGGTTTATAAACGCTAGCTCATGTCGACATGTTAGTGATAGAACCGGTTCGCTCGTGATATCCTACTAGTGGGATTATACACTAGTAATCGTGTGCCTACCAGTGGGAGGTTTATAACACTGGCCATGACTAATAGAGGAGACCACTATGTGATTTTACCTTGCATTAATGGTTTGTTATTGAAACGCTCTGTTTATGTTTCAACCGATTGTTTGGCATGCTTTAAATTTTGATTCCGAGCACCCATGTTTACTTGCTAAGATATTTTATCTCATGGTTTCCTTGTCCACCATTTCAGGTAGTGAGACCCGACGCGTGGGAACCCCAGGGGAGTGACGAGCTAGACAGCTAGGCATTTTTGGATTCAGTTTTGAAGCTAGGCCGCTAGTCACCCATGCTTGACTTAGAAACTTTTGTGTATAGAACTCCTTTAGTGATAGTAAGGATTGTATAGATGAAGTTATAACTCTGTGTACGTTTTGACGAGTAAATATTTAGGAAGAAAAAGAAATTAGATATTATCTAAATTATCTGAATTAGTAATTATGAACTCAGTAAGTTTCGAGTCTTGTGCATTGTGGGACCCGTCCCAAGTGCACGGCGTCTGTTTTTGGGGCGTGACAAGGGGGTGAATTGGAGTTCCAAAAATTCTCTCATTTTGCAACCACAAAACCAAAATTAAAGAGAATAGAGAAGAAGAGCTTGCTCAATGATTTTATAGAGGTTTGGTCTAACCACTTGGAACCTAGTCCTCTACCTTGGCTTCACTCACCAAGGATTTCCTCCACACTCTCCATTAAGAAAACAAGGGTGGCTTAAAGGAGCCACTCAATCCTTTTACAAGAAAAAGGGTGTTTCTCTCAAATCTCACCCTTTTACACTTAAACCCCACAAATCCTCTCTAAAAATCACTCTTGAAGGATTAATCACACCCTCAAGATCACTCACAAATAGAACAAGAAGAGGATTACAAGCAAAGATCTCTGAAAGATAAAAAACTCAAGTTAAAGCTCATGTAGGTAGGTAAAAATATTCAATACAATGCTCTCTAAACTTGTTTCAGATCTTCTACCAACCATATTTATAACCCCATGATTGAAAATAGTTGTTACTAGTGGTTGGGGGTCATTTAATGCTTTGCAAGACGCAAAGCTCGAGTTGCAGGATTGTCAGGATAGCCGGCTTAACTTCCTAGAGCCGGTTTAACTTTTCTATAGTCGGCTTTGTGGGTTTCCTGCATTCTGTTTTCTCCGTAGAGCTAGCTCAAAATTTCTATAGCCGGCTTTACAGGATTCTTGCACATTCTGTTTTCTTCCACAGCTGACTGCAAAGCCTAGAGCTGACTGCAAAGCCTAGAGCTGACTGCAAAGCCTAGAGCTGACTTTGGGATTCCAACTTTAAACACATTAAATAATCTTCAAATAACTCAACCGTTGTGCATTAAATGCACTTTCACAGCCGGCTACAAAGTTGGAGCCGGCTTTGTGTCTTTTCTCTGTGTTGTGTTAACTTTTTACCCGTAGAGCCAGCTGCAGCTTCCAAAGCTGGCTCTCTGCACTTCAATAGTCAGCTGCAAGTTTCAACAGCCGGCTCTCTACACATTTTCAAGCCTTTCGGTCCATTTTTAGTGAAGTCCAAGTTTACTTACTTTGCAATCTTTCGACATTTTAACTACACACTTAAAATGAACCAATTAGTCACTCAAATGTGTTCTGTAATCATCAAAATCATAGGTACAACAGTTGAGGGATACAACTAAAGTTCATGGGTGACAGGAAGAATTTCAAAAACATAGCTTTTACTATTGTGAAATACATGCAATGAAAGACATGTATTTCACTCAAATCCAATTACATTCTATTTAGGCATAACCAAACAATGATATTAAAACTGGATGATTCAAATTCAAATACACTTTTTGAAACTCTCATTCCTAAATAGGACATTAGAGATTTAGCACTTAATTGCTATGCTGGCCATTCTAAATCTTTCTTGGTGGAAATTTGCATCAACAACATGTTTTTGGAATATTGTGTTGTTCTTGAAAATATTGAGATTAGCCAATTTGCAAGGCTATTTGATGCTGCTAAAAGAATAGTTATCTTTGTCAAAGCTATCTTTGTTAACAAGTCTACAGCGAAGTTAGCAGAAAAGAAAGCTTTAGCTCACACCTTGGCTATCTCCATTTGTGGTCAAAGACAAGGCCAGAAGAGGGAGGATTGTGATACACCTCTTCCACTACCCATTCATCTTATTGTAGAAAAGCTTGACGTAATCTTGGATCAATGGATAGCTAACAATGCTATAACACTACCTCAAACACTCTATGAGCTTAGTAATGACAACAAGCACAATCCTAAGCACTATCATTATCATCTCTATGTACATCACTTAACCGTGGATTACTTTTCTTTATTAAAGATTATATCATCACTAGGTTTGCGAAAAGATTACTAGAAGTTTTTAATAAAAGACAAGAAGTGGATGAAAACATTCTCCCATGCCACAATCATGCCGCTGTCAATGTTCTTACACATGTGGAAGGTTTTGAGACAAGCACACCAATTATTGAATTTTTTGATGATGTGCACAACCTTTCTATCAATGCACTCAACTAACTCTAAAATTCAAATTACTATTTGATTAGCTTGGTCTCACTTTTGAGACACAACAAATAGCCACAGAAGCTATTGTATCTATTGTCAACAAACTGGAAGAGAGTGTCTAAATGTTGGAGCACATGCTAGTTGTGCTTACCTAGAGTTTTCTATTCCCATCACATTTACCAATGAGGACATAAAAGCACTGTATCCTAATCATAGAAAGCCAGTTTACTTGTTTGCTCAAATCAACTGTAATATCCCAAAATTTTGGGGTATTTTAGCATTAAATTGGGGACTTATTTGAGGAAAAATATTGTTTTGGAGCTTAATTGTAAAATCTTTAAAAGTTGGGGGACTAAAAAGAAAGGAAATTAGGATAAGGATGAATTGCTTTTTCTTTT